AATTGTGAAAAAAATTGTATCGAAAAATTATTGTTTATACTGTTACTTAAATTTGCAAGATTGAAAATAATTCATACGGCCTGATAGGCTTTGTCGTTTTCATAATTAATGTGAGAGGCTCGATACTAAAGATATAGGTCGAGTGTGCATATAATAGCAATTTCGGGACGATAAAACAACAGCGGTATGTAATTGGAAAAACGGTGATATTTGCACGGATAAACGGCATTAAGTTACGGTCCCCTCGAGCCCAGTAGCGTCATTGTATTAACGCGTACACAATGCCCTATGATGTTCGGTAATCAAATTCATCCGTTACACTGGAATCGATCCAAAGGATGGATACTTGACCGAGCCCCCCCCTCAGGGGACGGTGGACAGAATATATCCGTCACTATCGCGCAACGCGGTGGCGAAGCTGGACGAGCCAGGGGGGTAGGATCACTCCGATTCCCTTTCGCGTATGTTTGCAGAGATCCCCCTCGACGAAGTCGACATTTAATGGTAACGAAAATAGCTTAAACTACGCTATGGCGAAATTTATGAGCAGCGCGGAACAGAGTAACGAGAGGGGCGGGTGTGATTTCATTTCATGGCGCGTTATGTGCGAGGGGGGCTGACCAGAATCTCCTTTTTACAACCTGTCGATGTGGAACGAATTTCGTACATGCAATTAGTATTCATCTGTCATTAATCTCTCATTTCTAATGGCGACGTCAATATTTGTTGTCAATGTGTATGAAATTATTCTTCAATTTTTATCAGTTGTTCAATCCTTTTAGTTTATTTTATTTGAAGCTATATTTTTTTTCTATCGATTTGCAGTTAACATTGTATATTGTATTCTGTTGGAAAAAATTTATTTGTTCGTAATAATGTTACTTTAAATTTTCCGGTTTGTTTGTTTCTTCCAACGTTATTTTTCTTGACCGGTATGTAATTTAACTACGTCACGTTAAAGACGTCTCGTGGCGATTCGCGTAAATTTCTATTAGTGCAACGAATTTAAGTTTGCGAAACTTAATATTGATCAATAGTGACTACAGTCGGTTTCTTAGCAGCTATGTTTCGCGCTATTGATTAAGGCAACTCTTTTAAAAGGATATCTTAATGAAAGCTATACATTACATTCATACCCTCATATCACTTAGACTCGCCTGTATGCCGTGGTGATCGATATTATATGGGACATTCCGCATCAACTACATCTGTCACTTGCGACATGTTACTAGGTTCGTTCTATGTTCGAAGAATATCGCGGTTATAAGTCGTATATAACTTACAGTATACCTTTGAAGTCGCTTCAACGTGACGGCACTTCTCAAACCTACGTTTCGAAATAAAATTCGGACCTTTGAACGTTAATGTAAAGTGATCGATTAATTATTCGTTAACCACATGCACTAGCTGCTGTAAACGCTGCTTCAAATCATAATTGGATAAGCCAGTTTCCGCACATGACAGATAAAAGAGAGTCTGCTGATATATGTATTCATAATTCATTATTATAATATGAATGTACGTAAAGATTGTTAGTTAGTACGGAAAGTTGATGAAAGATCTTAATGGTCTTTTCCAACAATAGAATACTGAATATTTCAAAAGTATTTAAGTCTTTCCGCGACACCTACACTTTTCCGGCTAGTCTATTATACAATATCGGTTTTCAGTATCGGTTTTCATTCCAACAGTGATTAATTAGTAATTTAATGATTTTTATTAATGTTACATTATTAATTTTGGTACTAATATTATAATATGTATTAACAATTTTTAAAATCATAATTAAACACAAATTAAAAATTAAACAAAGTTTTATTTTACGGCGCTAAGGTAAAATCTATTCAAAGTGATTATAAGATATATAGTTGCAGTTTGAAACAATTCAAAATAATAAAATAAGAACATAAGAAATAGAAATAAGAATAAAGAGAAAGATTATATATAAAAGTATAGACAACTTTAATCTTTAAGAGTTTTTTTTAAATTAATTGCAGTCTGCTGAAAAATGATTTCGAATTATATTATTGTTGTATATTTTTTACATGCGATACATTGAAATTAGTTTTGAATAATTAAGTTTAATTATTCAAATACACGTTTAAAGTTTCGAGTCGTCGATATATATCTGTATGTATACAGCTAATTTGTCAGACGTTATATCTTACGCCACACAAATTAACAGTACCTTTTTATTTTCTTTAACAGCTCTCTTTATCTTCTGCAACTCGCTGAGTCTCTCCTATCCAGATTAATCTGAGAGAGTTATCAAAATATCGTTAGCCTGGTCGAGGCGGGTGAAGCTAAAAGTGATTCACTGCCCACTTATTTCATTACGACCTGTAATGTCCGCATTGCCCGATCAATGTTTCATGCGGAAACCACTGGCGTGTTCCAGCGCTTCGATTATTTATGAACTCCTCGTGTCTTCGTCGGGTACGGCGTACCTACGGCTGTCTCTAGGTTGCTGAACTGCCGTCACTCTTTTTAATTTCGAAATTCCTCTCTCGCAGTCTTGTCGCTCACCGTGTTTCCCATAATGAAATGTAGAAACGCGTTTTAGAATTGACGACGTTACAAAAACGTATCATTCTATATGTCGCACGTATATGTATGCTTGTTATCTAACATTTTGCATAAATTATATTGCTCGGCTCTTGTAAGAATGAAGTGAAAAAAAGTACTTAAAACTGGAGCAAAGTAGGAGTTAATCGCAAGCTATATAAAAATTATACACATTTAATCTACAGACGCTTTCTCTTGTAGAATATCAATCTTTGCATCAATATCAAGTTTTGTATATTGCATATAAATTATTAAATGCTACTTTTTGTACAATCGTATATATTACGTCTCTCTAATATCTAATTTTATTTGAACAAACTAAAATAATTTGAACTGTCTGAGGATTTTTTGGGGAGGATATTTTAAAGGATAATTGCATATATTGTAATCTATTAAGTTGTCAAATAATTTTTTCAACACATTTGAAAATTTATGTTAAACTTTTTTTTATATATTTTTAACGAAGTTATACGTAATCATAGAAATTATGCCGAAAGTTTAAACTGATTTCGTAAAAAGAATGAAGCAGTGGATTTAAAAATAAGTTTCACAAATGCTTGATTCTTTATTTGAAGGTGTTGCACGTAAAAGAATGTGATTGAAACAACTACTCTCATGCGGAAATATTAATGCCAGGTGATAACTTGCCGCAGTACCTAGCTTACACTCAATGACGACATTTTTCACGCGGACATACCGCTTAATCGAAGCATTAGCAGGGCGATAAATCACGGTTCGCGGCTAAGGGGCAATACACGATGGACCCTCTCTTAGCGTAACACTTGAACAGTAGTCACTCGATCTTCATGCGTGCACACATACGGGCGTATATATGTATGTACGTAGAAGATCGCAGGAACCGAAATTAGCAGAATTGTGTTTGTAGGGGAAAAAAATGCTAAAGTATCTCTCACACTATTGCTTCTTTTATCTTTATAACAGCGAATTGGATCTGAGTCGTTCACGACTTTATCCGCATTAAATGAGATTAGTTAAAATAATGAGTTTGTTTACCTAACCAACGTCATATTAATTAGCATCGCATTAACGTGAGCTAAATATTGTCATTTATAATAACGACCAAAAAAAGTCAATTTATTTTCTTTGCGAGACTGAATAATTATTGAAAAGAAAATGAATAAATTATGCGTTGATGTATTAATTTATAGTTTATACATTGTGAATGAAGCTTAATGGAGCTACCGAGGATACAGATCGCTCTTATTAGCCACATAGTTAACACTTCCTGCTGTTGTTTAGCAAAGTTTCTTCCCCTACGCGCGATTCTCTACGTCGTCGCGGTTAATAGAGTCATTTTTCGACTCGCGGCCGACCCCAGCGCGAGAGATACGTCTTCGGGAGCTAAAGTATTATGAGGATTAGCCAATTACAATTGAATTATCAGACCCTGCGGTCCCTCCATGTAATTTATCCGAGAGTAGATGGCGGGTGTGATTAAGTGGCTAACGTAACTGATAACAAGGTGGCTCAGCATCGTGCAGGATCGTGCATTAGTAGCGTTAGAATTGAGAAATGCAAAATGAACGGAGAAACGAATGATGCTTGTTAATTTTTCACCGCAATTTTTCTGAAAGTTATATTTGCATTGTTTTTTAATAAGAATATTGATTAAAATATTAACAACGTTTTAAGAGTATTTGATAGACGTTAATATTGTATATTCCGTAAAACTTTGTTTTATTAATCTCTTCATATTATATTAATACCATAAAGAAGATATAAATTCGTCGCGTCAAATTCGAAAATATAATATGAGTGTATCTTTTTCCGAGCAGATCTCGGTGCGAAAGCGCCAGGAAAATACGCGGATTGTGTCACGGCAGATTGTAAATAATTCAATTGTAACAGGTGTGCAAAATTGTTTGCGTCTATCGCGGAGAGATACAATTTCTTGGAAAATCATATTCGCAGAAAACCGATTCCTTTAATCCACTTGGTCCGACGAGCAGACGAATGCAGAATTAGATATCCCGGCCACATCAATATGGTACATAAACCCCCCGAGCGTGTGCACAAAATCAATTAGCAATTAAAGCTCAGCCGTGTCTGAGCCAAGCGTTCAGTCAGAGAGCTATCCGCGAGATTCGATCGATAGCGCCGCCAAGTAGGGTCCGTCGCGTCGATAAGATACGAATAGCCACGGGCATCAATACTAAGAGCGAGCGCATCAATAGCTCATGGAAAAAAAAAATAAATCCCGTCACGCGGACGATACGGATCAATTACGTATATCGTCCGTATACGAAATTAATTAGCAATCAACTCACGCGCGGTTGCTCGCCGGTTCTGAATGTGGAGATTGCGCGGCGCGGTGCGCTCGCGGACCGTCGGCTATCGGATATCGCAAATTGGGACAATTACGTTATTTCCGTCCGATAACCTACATCACGGAGTAGTCTGACGCATGAATAAGTAATTTCTTCCAGAAAATCTGACGTCTGACACGAAAACGAGGAGACTGTTCAAATTATCACTTGCATGGCGGAGTACCTACTGTCTAGAGTAAAGAACATTATTCTGCAGGATCTATCTTGCCTCCTGTAGGACCATCAAATTCGGTTTCATTCGTAGCGCAGACGCGACTCGACCCCGCCGCCGTCACCGCCGCCGCCGCCGCCGCCGCCGCCGCCGCCGTCGGTGCGGGTATCATCGATTTATAATAGCGCTGTTACGCTGCGCTCCCTTAACGGCGTTAATATTAAGCGTTGCTATTGTCGCTAATACTATTATATTAACGTCTTTTTATGTGCCCGCCGTCGGAGTGCATCGCGACGAAACGCGCGCCGCGACTCCGATTGCGCTCTATTATCCTTCCCGTGATTATTGTTAAATCTGCGTTATCGATTTCCATTTCCGTCGCTTAGTTCTCAATTACTGGTTCTGCTGCATTATCCCTAACGTCGCATATTGTTTTGATATTGTCTATTATTATTACGTGCCTTATTATACGCTCTTATCTTTATCGGCAATGTTCTTCGCAAATTTATATGACAGAGTGCTCTTCATGAACTTCCTACACCCGTGTTATTAGGTTGCAAATATATAAAAATACGTCAATAATTAATATACGACAAAATAGCGATGAATATAAATCATATTGGCACGGCTTGCGGAAAGAAAGGCATGGCGGCTGACAAAAAACGCGGATCATTACTGACTTTGTTGCAGCAGTGGCGGGTATCTGTTGCATCTACGGCAGGCATAAGTGACACATAGCTCTTTTTACGGCGCACGACTATCCCGCATCACCTCATCGTATATCTAAATAATCAATTTACTACTGGCCATAATCGTAACCACGAGTTAGCGAGTTTATGCGAGCCCGGCCACCGTAACTACGTGGCTCCGTAAAGTATAAATATTATGGGGCATTTCGTATACACAGCAACAGTCTCATAATCTCTTTCTCTCTCTCTCCTATTCGCTTCCTCTCTCTTTCTCTTCACTTGTCGCCTCCTTTCTTCTCTCATTATTCTCTTTTTCCCTTTTTTTCTTGTTTTTTTTCTTTATTTTCCTTCACTTACAAACTTGAGGAAAGAGATTTGATCAGATTTTCACTAATAAAATATTTTCTCCAAATTTTTTAAAAAGAGAGTCGTCACACTATACAAGACTGAATTTTCAAGTACATTTTATATATTTTATTCACAATATTTATGATAATATACTTTCTATATTTGTTTTATTGAATTTATTTAATTTTAACGAATAATCTAAATATATAGTACAGAATTTGAAGTAAATGTATATTTTACAAGTATGACACCGTAAAATTATTAAATTTATTTTTAATATTACTTTTGAAATATATATGACTTAAGAAACAAAACATAAATATGCAAATTAAATAAATAAATTTTTCTAAAATTGGAAACGTTGCAATGTTACAAGAATATACAATGCAACAAAACTATCGTACAGTTATCTGTCTAATTATTAGACAGACGACACGTAATACTACATTGTCTCGTCTCTGAAGGGGATCAAGTAATCGAGTTGTTCTATTAAAATGACATCATGGCGATGTCGTTTTGTAAAAATGGAATTAAGCGGTCTAGGCACTTCATTAACCTCTGTTACAAGAAGTGATTAGTAAAATGGTTGACTTGTTTCACAAATTATATCGTCTTAGTAATAATGTCAATCTCATCAACACGTGGCGCAAAGTCGTCGAATTAGTTTCTAATTACATGCATGAAGGAAAATAAAAGAAAAAAAAATGTAATTATGTACTCACATTATGCCTTGGTGACCAAGAATTGCACACAATGGATGCATCTTCCAATATACGACTCTGCAAAATGAAAGAATGCCATTTCTCATAGAAGTCAAGTTTGTTTTTATATAGTACAATATTAAACCAATTTAATCTACATATTTTATGTAGAATATATTTGTAATGTACTTTTTACGCAGAAATGGCAGCTTACAAGATAAAATGAAACTGAAAGCTAAAGAAGCGAGATTTTAAATATGTTTAAATGGATATTTATGTTTAAATAGATATTTATTCAATTTTATTATACTTAGACAATTGTTATTTTCATGATAATTTTGCTATTACTTGAATTGTAGTGGATTTAATAATTAATATAAAATATTTTCTAAAAGTAATCTACGATTAACTTCTAATTATAATTATTTTACTTTCAAAAATATATGACATTTTGTTTCGCCTTGAAGGTGAAGTGCTCTCTTTTTCATTTTGCAACAAGTTAAGCATTATCTCATAATATATCATTGCTATCTATGACAAGTTATGCGTGATAATATGCGCGATAGAGTACTGAAATAGAAATCAACATCGAATTATCGTATCACGAGAATATATCTTCCGTTGGTTTATCTGTGTTCGACAAAGGATGTCATGACGGTTCCGAGTTCCATGTAACAAATTTCAATACACGACTAATGACCGAAGCCGAGAAATATTTTCACTCGATGGAAATCGAACGTACGCGATTTACCTGTCAGCGGCACTTAATATTTATCTGGTCTGCATATTTTATTTTTGCCGATCGCTGCAGGACAGACATACCCGCGCGCGCAATTGTCTCCGTGCACACACAGATGCGCGCATATATAATACATACGTATACATTTATATTATATTTAAAGCGAAGCCGAAAGATTGACAGAATCGGGGCATACCGGCGTCGCGACGCCGTCGCAAATTAAATGAGTCATTTTAGGATTCGCGCAGAACTAGGTAATTCAATATCGTCCTTATTAAAGCGTCGGCCAATTCTGCACTCGCGCGTTTCTTGATGACAATGATTATGTCATTATGGGCACCGAGACTAATATGAATGCATCACTCTTTCGAAGCGACGTACTTTATTAACGTGTCACATGTCCCAGCGTGCCCGCGGGGTAATACTTCGTGGTTCGACGTATACGCACGATATATCACCGAGCTTCGATTGCAGATATACGTGCCACTTAATGTGCATTTGACATGATTTTTCAGTCATTTATTAGCTCTCGCCTCGGTGAATATCGGTGCTCGATATTTTCGCGCGATTGTCAAATATTCATCGAAACAAACAACCGTCGAAAGTTTTTAACATAGATTTAATCTTATATTTCAGTCAATTTTTAGATAGATTTTAACACAATTTTGACTCGAAATTTAGATGTTAAGAGATTTGTGGTTAAAGTTGGTGTGCGAGAATTTTGAAAAACTGCGGCGTTCGGGTATCTTTGGTCTCGGTGAATATTATACCTAATATCAATAATGTTTTACACTTTAGAACTTTTCGAGTCAAATATAAATCTGGATTGTGCGTTGCGACTGTTAGTAGAAAATCTAAAACGTTTAGGGATGCAATACTATCATAATCCTGCATGAAATATCTAGATACAAAGGTACATTGTTCAAAAAATTCTAAATTGAAAGTGTAAAACATTATTGACGTCTGATACAATATCGTATTTTTGCGGATTTGTCAAATGCTCATTGACGATGTTATCTCGCCGTCAAATTTAATATTGTCCATTTGCCGTTTTGAACAAGATTCCTATGATTCTATTTATTTAATATTTTGGATGAAATCTCTCCGTATCTTAAGAAGTTCAACGCCTCGGATATAATTATCGTCACCGAGAGGAAAATAGTTTGGCTTTATAATATCTTTATAAGATTGGTAATTACAGTAAATAATATAAGTAGATAAATAATATAAATAGATGTACGAGATATCAGTTTCGTGAAGAAAAAAATAAATATATAAGGAAAAATGATTTTTCTCTTTGAATGTCATTTTTTTTTTACGTGAAAAACGTTTCAAGGCCTGACAATGTTACAAAAATATTCGATAAGTTATTATCAAAATTATGCGGAAATATCAACATTTAAAAATGTATGAATAGTGGTGTTGTCTTGAAGAGATTTTTAATATAGATCACTTTTATCTTTGATAAAATATGATATTATAAAAACAAAAAAGCCTGACACCTCTCTTTTCAAATTGATGATGTCAGGTACAAAAAAAGAAGACATATTTAAATATCGGAGCAAATTAGAACAATTTAAATATCATGCATCATGATAAAGATTTATATATGCAGATATTTTTGCGCTGCTGAAAAACACAAAGAAGATTGAAAATTGTCTATTATAATCCAGGATATTTAAAGTCTTTGTGCAAAAGTGTTTAAGCGCGCCTTTTTTCCCCTTAAATAATTTTATCCGCAAAAAAATTAATTTAAATTAATACAATTGAAAACTGTTGGACTCGGCTTTTGAGATACTTCACAATTGAATTCTTTGAACAAGAATAATACGCTTATGCGACAATGCGCTGTAACGCATTAGCATCAGTAAGCCGGAACGCACATCATCTCTTAAAATCTATGTATGGTCATATATGAATTAGTGTTCACATGGTATGTGCACATGTGCAGTGTGCGTGCGTGCTTGCATGCGGATAGCTGTGTGGTTCTGCATGTGTGTTGGAACACACGTATGCATTGCAGTGCGTTGTGCGAGAATCCTATGATGCATCAGTTACGCGGACACAAAAGCCTGGTTGCATTGAGACTATATATATCTCTATATACACATGCGTATTCGTTCTCGTGAATGTGTGCGTACATATATACAGCAGCGGAAGCGTCTGTGCTACGACGCGTAACACATTGCGGACTCGCACGAGTAAACAGACGCAGTCGAATCAGTTTGCCCGGCTAATTGATTTTCCTTCACATGGCCGATGCAGAGCGCGCACTGCGTGCGCGCGTAGCGACGCGGCTACGCGGTCCGAATATAGAGAGACAGTGCAACGCGCCGTACAAATCCAATCCGAAACTCTCGTTTGATTATCAAGCGAATTCCCGCGGCCGATTGTAAATCAACTGCTATACTGCACCGGAGGATCATACTGATGCTTTAGATTGGACGGAATGGCGGTGCGTACGGATATCGGGAAATTTAACCCTCTTCCGAAGCCGGGATGCACGGAAAAAAATTTGATTGAACATTGTCGTGGCACGGCGATACGGAGCGCAAATGGCGAATGGCGTTTCTAGGGAGGGAAAAAGAATCTTTAATTCAACATTTGCCTAGTAAAATGAGAAAAATGTTGCGAAACTCTTGGCGATGTTGGTATATGATAATTTGTATATGATTTCAACGATCGTAAAGCATAATGATAATTTCTACAAATGATAAATAATGATTTTTGTTTTATTAAAAATTCTTGTACGATTTTTTACGAGTTTTATTTGTTTTATTACGTAATAAATGTGAGAAGCTTTATGAAAATATTTGACAAACTAGTATTGTTTGTCATGACTATTGTAGTATCATACTAAATACCAGCAAAAATTAAATGAGCAATGTTGCCAATTATAGAGATGTGAAAAATATTAGATTAATGCAATTATTTTTGACTTGTTTCACTAAATATAACAAGTTTTCAAGGTTCTAAAAATATGTGTAAACTGTGCATATTTTTAAACTGCTTTTCGCTGTCAAAGCTAAACAAGACTACATTAAGGATTTAAGAATCTACCGATAAGAAAAATAAAAGCATGAAAAGTTTTATATATAACTTAAAGTTTTTATATAATACAATAATTTTGGCACCTCTATAAAATTTGATTGACATTAAATTCAATGCAACCAAAGCGTGAAAGAAGCGGAAAAATATAAGATGGATGTGTTTAGAATACTACAAATGAATTCACTGAATAATACAGAACGGTAGACGGTAACTGTACGAGGGCAAGTGTCTCCGATTATAACAAAAGTGAGGGGCTCGCAGCCCGGCTCATTTGTTATTAACCGGCGTGAAGGAGCGTTGAAGTGCAGAAAGACTTCGAACACGACTTCACACTTTGACTCGTGGCCCTTGGTAACTTTAGATAATTACCGGCGAAACTTCCGCGAAGAATCTTACGTACTTTCTCGCAATATTCCCAGAGTACGTTCTCCCGCGATCCACGAGTGTTATCACCGTCGATGACACTACGTTTTGCGAATTCAAGCGAAATAACTTTTTTTAGCATGAAACAGGAACAAAACTATTTGCATTTGTTTCAAAGTAAAATTATTGAAAAAGAATATCTTACATTTCCTTAAGTAATTTTTCGTTTTTATAAAATTAAAATTTTATCTTTGGAATTATTTTCCTTTTTTAAAATGTAGTATTGATGATATTATTAATCTTTAATTGCAAAATTTTGTTTTTCTAATTTTTTTAATTTGTACTTGTATTTATATTTTTTTTATAACAAAAATTTATTGATGTTATTTTTTATCTGAAAATTATCTGTAACTCTTTTATCAGCTTGTTTAAATAATCGACTTACTACACTATGATCATTTTATTTTAATATCTGATCTTGAAATTTCCTTTTTCTCCATCGCAATGTGAACAATATGGGAATATAAAATACAGCCGGGTCAGAGAAAAAAAAACCGGCGCCGGCGCCGTCGTCGCACAAAATATGGAACGGATAGCTAGCTATGTAGATTCAGGCTGACGCGGCTCATTACGATTTCAGGCGAAAAACACGGGTCTTGAAGCGCGAATCGTCTAAGAGATCGCTAAAGGGAATTTATGAAATTTTCTAATTTAATATTCCGGTTCGCGCAGGCGGCGCCCCACCGTAGCTCCTCGTTAACTCTTTCCGTGGCGATTTTTTTACTCTTAATGCGAAACCCGATTAAGCGACTTCAGAAACGACATTTCGCTACAGTCGCGTTCGCAACTGAACACAGTATGAAAGAGGCGCGGAATAAATTAATGCAATTCTGACAAAATTCGGACAGCGCTCTTGTGCGATCAA